ACAAGATGGGAGGATAGAGGGGGGGGGAGTGCAGTTTCATGTTCCAATGAACATGACAAGATTTGGGATCTTTGGTTTTGTACAGAAATTTATTAAAGTGTCAAAGAAACTCTACATTCTTATTAAATAATAAGATTTTTATGTTCGATTCCAAGCTTTAAAAATTCTTAGTTTTTTGGAAAACGAATGGTAAAATATATTTTAAGTGTAAAATAAAGCGTATCTTGGCTTCTAAAGTGGAGATTTTTGCCTTCAATCAAAAAAACTAAAACCTTATTTGACAACCCTTGGGTACTATTAGAAAAAATGTACAGTACAATGATCATTATTCATTTTCTAAAAGTTCAAAAGAAGTGGGTTGTATTCAAACACAATAGTTTTTTTTCTCAAAAAGAAACGATCATTTTTGAAAAAGATTGAAAAACAAATCTAAAAAAGGTTGTTTAACAATTGTTTTCAAAAACAAAATTAAACTTATATGGACTCATAAAGTGATTTATAAGATTTATACTTAAACTTTAAACATTTCTTACGAAGAAAGGCAGATATTTGGATAAATATTTCTGGATAAACTTGGTTTGTGTTGTTGTATGCTTTGATTTAAACAATATTATTTTTAAGATTTAAATAATTGATACAAGTTTTCCAGATTTAATTTGAACTACAAAAAAGGTATCACTTCAATCAAAGATTATAAAAGATTAAGTGAAATCATAATTAGGCACTATTAATGATAATGGATACATACTTAGTTTGGGAAGCCTCTCATGGCACCATGTCGAAAAATTTGAAAAAATCTTTTATTTCAACCTCCTGTATTACGCAGGCACATTTTGATGTATTGCACATGCTCATTTCAGCATAGGGGAGGATCAGTCTGCCTAGCAAATCTGGAAGGCTCGTAGTCGTGTCTGCATAGCAGAGGTTCATTGCATCCCTTCCCTCCCTTGCAGGACACAGGTACTTTAAAGCCAGGATATCCGTAGTTTAAAGATAAATTTGACAAATTATACATTTTTGAAAAGCTCTTAAAAAGGCCAATTTAGATTAGCCCAAAAAATGGATTCATAAAAAAATTGCACAAAGAAGCAAAAGTACATTATAGATTCATCTGTTCTTTAAATATTTTTCACTTCTTTTTTTAGCATTTTAGCATTTTTTAGTAAAATGTATCTCAAATTATTGTTCAAACTTAGATTTTTAGAATTGATAAATATAAATAAATCATTTTTGCAAACTAGTTTTTTCATTTTGCAAAGTTAAGCAGTAACTAATGATTCATACTAAAGTTACATATCATATCATTTTGAAATGCTGTACACTGTAGAGTTCTCTAACCATTACTAAAATAGAACACAAAAGGAAAATTTTTCACTTTGTTGCACAAATTCAAAATGTTTCATCCGTATGAGATATTACTCATTTTTGAAAAAGCATCTGACCTAACTATTTCAAAAATGATGAAATATTTTCAAATTAATGAATATGTTCACCAAATTTATGCAAAAATTATGCCAATAGTTTGCAAAAAGTCTGCCAAAATGACATGATATGACACCAGTTCTCGTTAGATCACTGAAGTTAAGCACACTTGTCCACAGCCAGTAACTGGGTTGGTGTCCAGACTGGCGTTCACTGGTTCGATTCCCGTACTCCACACAAACCTGTGGTTTCAAAAATATCTGAAGCCGACATCTGGTTAAGCAGTTATGACCACCTGACAGATGTAGGAGGACAGAGGGGCGGCTGTCAACAACTCTCACAGCGAAAGGGTGCGTGCTTTCTATTCAACAAGAAAGAAGCTTGAAGTGAATTGATCCAAGTGAATGATGATGAAGAGAGGAATGGTGGACAAGCAGGGAGAGTCTATGGTTGCCAGCTATAGGTAGCTGGGGGTATCCAATCCGGACTTACATATTTTAGGGAGCAGTAAGTGTGATGTTTCCTATCAGTATGGCACCCAGGCCTCATTCTAGTATATCAGAAGGATTCCTGCACTCTATATTCTCAGGCCTAAGAAGGATCTTAGGCAGCTGGAATCTTGTCAACCCTCTTCTCACTATGAATGAAGCGTGGATGGTATAGATCAATATAAAAGAAATATATTTAGAACCCCAAGCCTTCAATGGGATAATCTTCACTTCCAACAAAATAACACCATATATAACTTTTTATAACATAAGCTTTTGGGCAAAAGCAAGGAAAATATACAATTAAATTTTACATTAAATATTTGTCATTTATTTAACTTACTAACTATTTAGAACAATGATTTTCAAAGCAGTCATAAAGTCCAGAAATCACATCAACATGCCTGGAGGGACTAGGGCAGGAACCCTTAAGAAAAAAATTAATTAAAAAATATGAGATCTCAACTCTACTATAAGATACACTATATAGTTCATCAAATGAATAAATGAATAAATGAAGCAGGATTTGAACCTGGAGCATTTTCTTAAAAGTATTTAGAAAAGGGGTTGGAGAGCTCACAGCAGGTCTGCATTCCATCTCTTGTGGTTTACATAATTTTTTACATTTTGGCCATGTTTTTATCAATAAATTATTCAATAGCAATTAGCAAGTTATCCCTTTAGAAGATCCCCACTTTACTTAAACAAGCTACAAGTTTTTACTTACCATAAGGTGGCATTGTTCAGGAGTTGCACCAGGTGTAGCACTTTCTTCTAGTGTATGCCAATGCCAGTAGACACAGGTCTTTTATGTAAATTTAAACATAGATAAATCCAAAATTAAATGGAGAGATTGAGTTAAAGATGTATGATATATGATAAAGGTTAAAAAACAGAAACAATAAAATATTAAAAAATAAGTAGAGATCATACCCTTAATTAAAATGAAAATGAAAAAAGGTACTTATTTTATTTTTCTGAAAAAGGTAGCTATAATTCATTTATGAATAAAAATTAGTTACAATTAGCAAAATATATAAAATCAATTTTTCTCAGCAAAATATCATTCTGTAGTGAAAAAAGAAGTTTACCCGATAATTTGCACATTGAAGAGCACAATCCTCCCAATTACTAAAATAATAACAAATAATAAAATTGGATAGTTCACAGTACTTTCCAAGTTGATTAATGTATTCCAAGATTTTTTAAAACTTTAATTGCAACTTAAAGTTTGATCACTTAAGCTTCTTTACTATCTTTTCTTAAACTTAGAGTTGGTAAATGGTATCCAAAAATGTTAGATCGCATATATTTTGCGGGCTAAGGCAAAAAATAAAAAGTTCAATTAAGAAAATAAAATATATAATAAAATAATAATAATATAATAAAATTAAAATGTTTAATACTTTTTTATATCTTGTTAAACACCTATAATGCTTAACCTCCACAATGTAAATCAAAGGAATGGAAAGATTATATCAGAATTTACTTGGTTTCATTTCCACTATGGTTCTCATTCCCGGTATTACAGTAAACGCCATAACCAGGACATCTGATGTCTACATATGTACCTTGTGTTCTTTACCAGTCTGAATAAGAAATAAACATTATTTCTAATTAATTCATTAAAATAATAAACATTAGGCATATCTTAATATTTGCAAGAAATATATTGTTTAACTCTAAAGCTTGTGATTACTTTTTATGTAATGTATGCTTTAAAAAATAGATCTTGAATCAAATTATTGAATGATTCTAAAGATGATTTTTATATTCTTTTCTCTCTCTAATTCTAACTTGACAATAATCCATTCATTTCTTCCAAAATGTCGTCTTTATTCCTTTTTAACATTTTTATCCACTAAATCACTTATTCTCTTTTAGTTTTACACACATGCATTTTAACCTATCTGTATCTTTATACTAAACTTTAATATATTGCTTATTCTATTCCATTACAGTGGTTCCTAAAAATCATCTATTCATTTATAATTTCCAATTACTCCAACTCCTAATTTACCAAACCTTGTTTATCATCCCTCTTTATTTGATTCCAATTCCCAACCTTTTTTACCTACTCCCAATTTATGCTTATCTAATTCATTCCAACTTCTTAATTCTTATCCTAACACCAACTCTTCCAATCCCAACTTCTTCCAGTTGATTTCAACTCCAATTTCGGCCCAACCTATTTTGCCTTTTACCAACTGTTCCATATCTCATGTATACATTGTTGATGGCGGTTTAGGATTCTTATAGTTTGGGATTCCACATATATAAGATTAGAAAGAATGTTTTATATTATTGTTACACGGCAAATGAAAATTAGCAATAAAAAAATGATGATTTAAAGATATATTATATGCACCAATTATATTTGGTTCAAGAAATAAAAATGTAAATAAAAAAGATTTATTTCTCTGTTCCAAATCTTCTCCTCCCAATCTTGGTGTAATGATACTTTTTATTTATCCTTTTTTAACATATCCTTGATTTTTTCCTTATATTCCTAAATCCTTGTTTACATTCTACTTTTTTACCTTTTGAGTTGAGGGATGATAAGGTTCCATAAGATGAATTATTAATTTAATGATGTATCATTTTATCAATTTATCATTCAATTTAAATTTATGTATGTATTTTGTGATTTGTTATTTACTATTTTTCCCTGAAATCTAAAAAGGGTTACATGCTTCAAAGCATCCAGTATTAACTTAACCAAAAATTCATGTGAAACCGATCAAAAATACAATTTTTAGGCTCCTTTCGTTGCCAGCGAGTGTATCAAAAATCGAAATTAAAAAACGATCGTTTTTGAAAAAAACGATCGTTTTTTAAAACAATTGCTATTCGTTTTCTAAAAGTTCAAAAGAAATGACAATTATGTTAATGATCGTTATAGAAGGGTTTTCGTTAACAATCATTAACAAAACGACGAACTTTATCAAAACGGTCGTTTTTTAAAAAAATATATGCAACTTTATTGAATGTCGTCTTACATGAAGTTTAACAGTCGTGGGAGAATTAAAACTCCTTGATATTTTCTTAAAAACTACTCAATGATAAGAACAGATTCCCTTCACGTCGGTTTCCTCTCTTAATGAAGGGGTCGTTGTTAACAATCGTTAACGAAGGGTCGTCGTTAACGATCGTTAACGAAGGTTCGTCGTTAACGATTGTTAACGAAAGGACGAATTTTATGAAAACTAGCGTTTTGAAAAACAATCGTTTTAAAAACGACTATTTTTAAAACATGAACTTTTGAAAAAACGATCGTTTCGTTTTCGATTTTTCACGTCGTCATTTTCATAACGAAACGATCGTTTTTCTGAATAATGGACACATTAACATCCCTTTCCTATAGATATGAATGTCGTGTTTTATTATATATATTAGTGGTACAACTTTTTAACCTTGCATAGCTCAAGTTTTAGTATATTATGGTATGAAAAAAGCAGTCTTTATTGGGTGTTTCTTAAAAATTACATCCTTTTTTCCTTCTGTATGTATACGATAAGTATGAGATAGGAAGATTTTATAAGTTGTATATTATACAATAGAAAAAATAGATAGAAAAAACTCTGCAACAGGAGTCGACTTTTAGACTTAAATTAGGCCAATACTCATGAGACACAACAATTTTGCACTGTAAACAGATTCTTTTTACTTAATAAGTGAAGTAATAACTTACTAGTAAAACTATTTGTTTTGCAACAACATCAAATGATCTTTTTTCTTGCTAATGTTGTCTTCCTATTTTACAGTTTTCTGGTTATCACTGTTTTCAAAAAACTATATTGTTTTTCTTTATAGCTCTTTAAAACAATGATTATTGACATGTAAGATTTCAAACTAGCAAGCTTTATATTTGGCGTGGTGATGTAACGAACATGTAACTGTATACATGAAAGTTATCTTAATATTATGTAGTCATTTGTAGAAAGCTACTTATTATACTATACCTTCATTGACCAGGGAAGCAACAAATGAAGTGAAGAAACAGGCAAGCAAGAGAAAGGTTTTTAAATACATGTTTACTGCAGCTCTTCTCCTTGAAAATTGAATAAAAATGAGATAACGAGGCCAGTTTTATAGATTTGAGTTTGAAAACAAGATTTAAAAAAGTTTTCTAAAAGGCGAAACATAACCCCCAACTTGCATTCAAGGTTTTAACTTATCATTATACAATTACTTTATTAAAAAAAGCTTAAACTGCAAACATACAAGAGAATTTGAAGTGTGATATTGCTATTTTGTTTATAGCAGAGTCTTCACCTAAAAGTTGAAATTACTCTCAACTGCTAAACTAGTATATACAATTAGACACAATTTGGATACTGCTAAATGGAAATCTTCCCTTGGGAATATCTTATAAACTCTTTCCATTTGTTTAATTTTGTTCCTTATCACATTAAAACAAATAGAAGAGCACAACCTTTAAATTCCAAACGTTGAAACAAACTGTACACAATTACAATAAATAAATCTTTACCAAATCAATCAGAGAGACTGCAGACATTATTTTTAGATTCACAACAGTGATCATTGCCTACAGAAAATAAAGCGCCCCTGAGCCCAAAACTTAAGACAGGGTATCGTTATGAAAACCAGTTTTGAAACCTGGGTTTCGCGAATGGGGTTAGGCAGTTTTGTGGATATCAATATTTTTGTTACGAAATATTTCTTTATTTGGATTCGACTTATTCTCAATTTTTTTTTAATCGCTTAAATCAAAATCTACACAAATTTGTTGAGACCCCAAAAAGGAAACTCGGGAGTTTCATTAAACGATACTCTTTTAAATTTCGGGCTCTGAGTGTCAGATTACTTATGTGTACACTGTTAACTCTATTTTTTACACTCCTCAACATGGAAAAGTTTACAGCATAACTTATCAATAAACAAACAATACATAATACACTTATAAATTATTAAATTTTTATTTAATTATGATTTCTTGTCAATAAGAAAAATGCTATACACAAAACTATTGAAAACATAATTCATGTTGTTAAGGCAAATTATAATACTGATTTCTACAAAATCAATCATTATCCCCAGGCCTGCTTTAAAAAAATTTCAACAATTTACATTTTTTTCTCTCCAAATCATTTCTTGAGGTTGTCATTTTTGAAGAAAATTAATCATCATTTTAATGTTTCTTTTCAACTGTTTACAACAAAACTAGTAATATTTTAATTGACTTATGTTCTAATGCTTCTTAAGAAAATAATGTAATTTTCTTTAAACTTAATCTGAAAATGATTAAAAAAAAACCTAATCCTACAAATTTTGGTTGCAATATAATTTTTAGAAATCCCAACATATCCAAGTGGTTTATACTTAAAAAGAGCCTAAATGGTTGTAAAATATATAACCATTAAAACATTTATAGGAATAGTTTTATTTTGTCAACATTTTTTCATATTTTAACTTCCTAAATGTATGAGGACTCATATATATTGATTCCTGGCCAAGTTAATGGTAAAAAAATCATTTCTAAAACTTGACAACATAAAAACTTTTAGCATTTTTAATATTTCTATCAATATATTTTCAAGGTAGAGTTTTTTTTTAAATTTGTGTTAATAAATAATAAAAGAAAGAAAGATAATGTTTCAACATTAGACCTGTCCTATACTATAGAAACCAAAATATTGTGCAAACACTTGGTAAGAAATAATAAAAGACCAAGGAAATCATTTTTGACAAATTAATCTTAATTTATTAACAAATATACTTCCTACATACTTTTGTGTTTCTCTGATATTAACAGAATATACTTCCTACATACTCTTGTGTTTCTCTGATATTAACTATTTCTCTGGTATTAACAGAATATACTTCCTACATACTCTTGTGTTTCTCTGATATTAACAGAATATACTTCCTACATACTCTTATGTTTCTCTGGTATTAACAGAATATACTTCCTACATACTCTTTTGTTTCTCTGGTATTACCAGAATATACTTCCTACATACTCTTGTGTTTCTCTGGTAATAACAGAATATACTTTCTACATACTCTTATGTTTCTCTGGTATTAACAGAATACACTATGGAGGACGTGAGTCAGACTCTAATGAAAAGAACTTCCAGTATATATATTTCTTTTAACTTATTACTAGAGGGTTCAGAACTAGAGTCAATATCGAAATCATACGTGTATATGTTTTATCAGTACTATGCCCCGTATCCGTTCTATCTCATTCTGTTGAATCTTGTGGAACTTGTTTAACGCGGCCAGGCATCGTCTTCCACAATTTTTTCCTGTAACAAACTAAATCTTTGTTTTGACCCACTTTCACTTGCCAGATTTTGATAAAATTTAGCTTTTTGGAAAGCCTATGACATAAGGAAACGGATTGCACAAGTTTTACGAAAAAAAATTGCAATTTTTTTGCAAATAACCTGTCAAAGGAAATTTGCACATTTTTAGTTTTTCTTGATTAAAAACCAGGTTATTAAAAATTTTGAAAAACTTTTTGCATGTTCGAAATGGCATGGTCAAGGGCTTTTCAAAAATGTATATTATATCATTTTTTGGACAGTTTGGTTTTTGCAAACATTTTTGCTATATAACTTGATTTTGCAATAAAAATTTGCAATTTTTTGCAGATTCTTAAAGTAGAGGACAAGAGCTTTCCAATAATGTATCATTTGTCATATTTGGACATTAAACATGGGATTTAGAGGGGGGGGGTCAAATTGACCCCCCCCCCAGCGTATCCTGGCTTTCAAGTACCCCAGCAGGGATAGGGTTAACAGAATATAGTTCCTACACACTCTTGTTTTTCTCTGATATTAACAAAATATACTTTCTACATACTCTTGTGTTTCTCTGGTATTAACAGAATATACTTCCAACATACTCTTGCATTTCTCTGGTATTAACAGAATATACTTCTTACATACTCTTGTTTTTTTTTGTATTAACAGAATATACTTCCTACATACTCTTGTGTTTCTCTGGTATTAACAGAATATACTTCCAACATACTCTTGCATTTCTCTGGTATTAACAGAATATACTTCCTACAAACTCTTGTATTTCTCTGGTATTTACAGATTATACTTCCTACATACTCTTTCTTTTCTCTGGTATTAACAGAATATACTACGTACATACTTTTGTGTTACTCTGGTATGAACAAAATATACTTCCTAAGTAATCTTGCACTTCTCTGGCGTTAACAGAATATATTTCCTACTTATTCTTGTGTTTCTCTGGTATTTAAAGAATATACTTCCTACATACTCTTGTATTTCTCTGGTATGAACAAAATATACCTCCTACATACTCTTGTTTTTCTCTGGCATTAACAGAATATACTATCTACATATTGTTGTGTTTCTCAGGTATTAACAGAATATACTTCCTAAGTAATCTTGTATTTCTCTGGTATTAACAGAATACACACCCTACATACTCTTGTGTTTCTCTTGTATTAAAAGAATATACTTTATTATTTTTATTCAACTACAAAGCACGAGATAATAGAAATAAAAAAATCACAATTTACTATGTAGTTTGGACCCGCCTAACCAGAGTAGGTTGTTTTAAATGGTTGGCCCACTATAAACGAATGAGAATTGCAAATAAAAACACTATACATAGTACATTTTAAACGTAAGAATGATGATAAATCAGGATAAAGTTAAGGAGGAGGTGAGGGAGTATAAGGGAAAGGGAGGATACTCAGCGTAAGGGTTGGAACATAGGGTAACATATGTTATTAAAACCATGTTTATGAACTACAGGGTAAAGAAGATAGTAAAGACTAAGTTTCCACATGATACACATTTTTTTACAGATATAATTTGCATTACTATCTAAATAGATCTTGGCGACTTTTCTTTTAAACAGTTTTGCAGATTTAGTTTGTTTAATTGCTAATTCAATCGAATTCCATATTTTTGGAAATAAAGCAGAGGGAAAACATTCTAGAGTTTTAAAGAGAACCCGTTCAAGTTTATATGATTTTGTTCTATTTGGTTCAGCTAAAGAATTAAACATATCATGGAAGAATACTTCCTACATACTCTTGTGTTTTTCTGGTATTAACAGAATATACTTCCTATATACTCTTGTGTTTCTCTGGTATTAACAGAATATACTTTCCACATATTCTTGGGTTTCTCTGGTATTAACAGAACATACTTCCTTCATACTCTTGTGTTTGGCTTGTATTAACAGAATATACTTCCTACATGCTCTTGTGTTTCTCTGGTATTAACAGAATATACTTTCTACATATTCTTGCATTTCTCTGGTATTCACAGAATATACTTCCTTTATACTCTTTTTTCTTTGGTATTTACAGAATATACTTCCTACGTATTCTTGTTTTTTTCTGGTTTTTTTCAGAATATACTTCCTACATACTCTTGTATTTCTCTGGTATTAACAGTATATACTACCTACATACTTTTGTGTTTCTCTGGTGTTAACAGAATATACTTCCTACATACTTAATTGTTTTTCTCTGGTATTAACATAATATACTACCTATACGGTCTATGTATTCATATATTTGGGGTTCACTGTATATAAAACAAGACATTCATATATATGTTGCGTATTGCCGGCCAAACGGGGTAAATTTTTTTGTGGACACTCATGGGTGGCCGAGGGTTGTTACAGGCTAATAAAAATTCAATTTTTTTTCTAAATTTTTTTACCCACGGGCAACGCCGGCCCTCCAGCAATTATTTAATGTTAACAATAAACAGCAATTATTATTATTAATTTAATTTTTAATTTTTTTGTCCAATATTGATTTTTCGCAATTTTAATATAAAAAAAAAGGTTTTCCTCATTTTAATTTATGTTACTTTAAGAACGGAAATAAACAAATTGTTGTGTATGTACAGTGGTTTGGCTTTTATTTTAATACAATAATAATAAAGAATTTCTGTTTAAGATTTGATTTCTTATAACTATTCATTCAGGAGAAACAAGCAAACATGTCAACAAAGACAAGCTTATAGAGGACGTGAGTCAGACTCTAAATAACAATGCATAAATAACTTCCAGTATAGATGTTTTTATCTGTACTATGCCCCGTATT